CAGGAAGAAAAGTTCCATTTTTAAAGAAATTTTAAAAAATCCTAAGTATATTTTATTTATTTACCCTTGCAACTCCACAAAATAAACAGTATGACAACATTCTTTCAAAGACAAACTCTGTGTGCATAATTTCTATACTCCCAATTTGTTTCATTAATTAAATCCTAAATCATCAATTTGGAGCTGGAAGGGGACTTTAAAGTCATATAGTCCAACTTTCTCATTTTACAGATGAGGAAACTGAGATCTAGACAGATTAAGTGACCTTCCCAAAATCACACAGGTAAATGACATTAAACGCACATGTGTGCACACATATACATGGCATGCTTTTCTTGATAATGATACTTGGAATAATATTATAAATACAAATGCTTCATTTATAAAAGGAACAGATTTTTGCTTGGGGTAGAGATCTAAGTACTGGAATCTTTAAGTTTAATAAATAAAAGAATGGGGATGGAGTTGGAGAAAACATGTAAACCCTTTCCAGCTCTATGACTCTATGACTAGAGTGGTATAGTAGATGGAAAGGTTGCTTTGAGTCAGGGAGACCTGGGTTCAATTCCTTCCTCCAGTCCATGCTAGTGACCCTTAACCTCTCAGTGCTCTATGCAGCTCTCAGAGACTATAGTTTTAGAGAAGGTGTAGAGACGCATTGCTAAAGTGGGGTTTCCTCACCCACGGGTACTCTACACCAATGAAATCACAGGTCAACCCAGACTCCTGTGCCTATCCTTCGGGGTCTCAGACTTATAATGGACCTCAGAAGTCACTTACTCCAATCTATCGCCAAAAAAGAATTCCTTTCTAAAACTGACCCTACAAATTACCATCCAGCTTTGGCTTCAAGATCTCCAAAGACAGCAAGACCACTACTTCCATTCCACTATGCCCATTCCACTTTTGGACAGCTCCTACTGTTTATCATAAGCCTGAATGTATGTGTTTTTTTTTTTTTTTTTTTTGTAATTATCATCAATTAGTGCTGGTCCTGCCTTCCTTAGCATGTTTCCTAAGGTTATCAGTAAAGATATCCTCAATGATGATAATTTAAGCTATTACTAAACTAAACATATTTTTAGTATATCAGGATGGCACCTATTCTACCATTATGAGGCTGGCTATTATCTAGAAAAGCTCTACTGCATAAGAATAAAGAGGTTTCATTATACAAGGAAAATGGCATTTCAGGTGCTCTGCTGCTGAAGGAGCATTTGCTCTAAGCAGTTAACATGATAGAAGAAGAAATAGAAAATAATTATTTCTATTCGAAAAATTTTCAATTTCTAAGTTGTTCATTAAATTCCAATCTTTTCCACATACCTTTTGACGTAAGTTTTTAACAGATTCTTTAATATAAAGCAAATCTTTACATGGGATGTATTTTTCAAGCATTTTGTCAAAGTTAGGATGGGACATCATGAGGAACAGCATCTTTCGACCGTAATACCTGCAAACGTGAAAGAAATATTTCTATCATTTAGACTTAAGTTGTTTAAGAGTTTGTATTATTATTATATAGCTGCAATTATTATTAATTCAACCCAAAAACCTACTTGTCATTATCAATTTAAACAGATTGGAAAGTAGTACATCCTAATGTTTTGTGGTCAGCTGGATCTAGATCATAATCTAGATGAAGAGCTAATTGTTTTGCTCAATCTTGTGAGTATCTATGGGAATCTTGCTTTCCAACACTAGCTGACCTTCGGAAAAACTGTGAAGCAGGTCAAGTGTGTCTCTGGCATTTGCTTCAATGCTCAGTAATCTGATTGTCAGCCACCTACTTGGAGCTTCTGACTTGGTTGACTCCCTGGAGCTTGACATCTTACATAGGAACCCTATAATTTGATTTTTTTCTTTCTCAATCCACCCCCACCAAAAACTTACCTGTCCTATGTGTACCTATCTCTCAGGAACTTGTTCTTTGCTTTCTAGGGATACAGTTAAGTAACTGTGCTAAATCTATATTAATGCTGATAATGTAAATGCTTTGCTACTCCCAGGTAAAATATGTGCATTTTGATAACAGTCTTCCAGAAATGATACTTTAAAGAAATGGCTCTCTTAGTGTGAATTTCAAATGACATAGTTAAGCCAGAAAGAGGTTACAGCAACAAGAGGCAGGGCTTAGGGGCCTGAAACTAAGTGGTAACCTTCAATTTCTATCAAGTACAGAGCAGTTTTTTCTGCCAAAGTGCTGGGCTGGCCCCGATACGCATTCCAATGCGTTTTCCCCTTTTGTCTCCACTTCCAGGTAAGGGTGCATAATTTGGAGGGAAGGAAGAGATAAAGAAAAGAGGCACTTAAGTCTCAGAAAGACTAAACAGATCTATCTCCCTTCTATGCTCTTCCCATAACTACAAAGTAGTTAAGGAGAAAATGGGAATATGTGGAGAAAACAAACATTATTCCCCAATTCCAATGTTCCTAGAACCAGAAATTGGCTCACAATCTGGATGACCAGCCCCTAAGCAGTTGCAAGTTTCTTGGAGACAACTCTAGTACTTAAATCCCTACTGGGGATCTAAGAATCACAACAGGGTCTAAGGATATGAGATAGAAAGATCCTGTAGTACAAAAAGGCCAATAAGCAGGTGATAAGAGACATATGAAATGAAAAATATTCAGTCTTGAATATTTAATTTTCACTATGTAATAATTTCAAAATCGCAAAGATAAATAAAAAATTCTATGAAAAGTAAGACCCAATGACTGCCATTAGGGGAAGGTTAAAGGGTGTATTCCAAAAGAATCTTAGCTTTCCATAATAATATAGCATGTTTCTATTATTCATGAATTTATCCAAAAAGCTTGAATGTCATTTTCCGTACTTTAGGAGTAATAAGTTCCAAAGGTTTACTTGCTGCTGTGTAAAACAGTACTTTTCTGTCTAAAATATATCCCTTTAATGTTTCAAATGCTGTCTCTGTAATCAACTTGCCAATTATGATTTTAAAGATTTTGATCATATTCTTTTCAATCTTTACCTTTCTAGGCAAAAAAAAAATCCTATTTTCAAAAATCTATCTCCATATAGCAACCCTTCAGTCCTGGTAAGACCCTTCTTTGGATATCCTTTACCTATGTCTTTATTTTTCTTGAGGGAGAATAAGAAAATGTACACAGTATTCCAAATACATTATGGCCCTGAACACTGAATGTAAGATAACATTTCCCCCCATGTTCTTCCTGATGATGTCTAGCATTTTCACTGCAGCAGCACACTGGGCCTATGGCTACAATGAACATTGCTCAATGATCCTTAAATCCTTTCTTGGATTGTAACTGATCATTATTCTATAAGTATACTTTGGATTATATTTCCCTAAATGCATTACCTTACACTTGCCCACAATGAAGTTCATCTGCCACTTTTCTGCCCACTCACACAGCCTCGTGTCGTTTTCCTGAAGTTCATCCCTGTGACTTGGCATTTCACTACCCAGAAGTGCGTAGTGTCATCTGTAAATTTGGAGAATTCACTGTGCACTCCTTCCAGATTATTTGTAAAAATGTTAAACAAGATCAGTACTAGCACCAACCCCGAGGGACCCCACTGCTGACACTTCTCCTTTCAGAGAAATGCCCACTTGGCCCTACCCTTTGTATCCTACTTTTAAGTCAGTTTACTGTTCATACCAAAATATTCTTCCCAATCCCAGGTGTTATTAGATTACACTTACTCTACGAGCACTAGCTCACCTAGTTTCTTGTGAGCTGTCTTGTGCAAACTTAGCAGCAGCTGGCAATATCCGGTCGGCCAGGTCTTTTGTTCCTGACAAAATTCGTTCTGGTTCGATTTGCTCCACCACATCAGACAAGTGCTGGGCTGTACATCTTCGTACAGCAATGTGTAAATGACTGCAAGGAAATAATAGTAAAATGAAACTAATCAATGAGATTAACTGTTTATCAGAGTTGATAAACCACTAAATTGCTCTTAACCTTCTAGCCCAATCCTTCTAAGCTAAAAAAGGAAGTATGTATTAACAATTTGAATTAGCTACCCCTGCACAAATGGCAAAAAAAAGATATTTATAATCACTGCCTGGTTTAGCACAGAGCAGGCACTTAAAAAATGTTTATTAAATGGCTGAAATGGACATCTGTTTCCTTCTAACCCTCTATGTAAATCATACTAAAATCTGCCTTCTTTCTCTATAGTCTGGACACTATGAAATTCCATTTTAGCTAAATTTATTTCAATTTTTTATGAATATTACCTTTGTCCTCCATTTATTAGAGAACTAATTGCACGTGCTGGAGTTACATTATTAACCATGGCCTTCAATGCTTTGTCTACATCTTCTCTTATAAATGTGTTTGATTCACCAGCTTTATGCAACAGAACTTTTACTGTGTTATCTATTTCTTGATCCATATTCTTTTTCAGATGAGTAAAGAGATCACCTAAACAGACCACAGCAGCACGAGAAACTCCAGAGCGTAAATTCTTCACCTAAAAATTTTAAAATCTTAAATAAGAATTCTTGCTAAATTAAAAGGCAAATCAACAAAAATATAAATCCTATTTTACCAATATTAATCAATCTCAGCATTAAATTCCCATATTTCAAAAAGTATCAGTAACATATTTTCACTTTCCTGTCCAAGCTTGGGAACTTCTGTTTGCTGTCCTAGGAAGCTGGGTTTCTGACTGGTGAGAATTTATCATGTCCAGGGCAGACTGAGATTCACCATGACATGTTCCTGTGCCTCTATCTCCACATCAGATCTAACACTCCAAGCTCCTGCCCTGTGAACCTAGGCTTCTGATTGGAGAGCATATGTCATTTAGCCCAGACCCAGACCCATTCTGTTAGTCCCTGGCCATTTACATGCAACGCACATATAATTCTTGCCCTTCCCTTCCTACTCTGGCTCTGTAAACAGTAATGAAATCAACACTCCTCCCTTGCTACCCCCTAATGTGTTGTTTTTCCCTATTAGGACATAATTTTCTTCAGAAGAGAGACTATCTTGCTTATTTGTATAGGTTTCCCTAAATCTTGGGAGAGTGCCTGGCACATGGTAAACACTTAATAAATGCAAAGCTTTTTATTCACTTATTCAGTGAAAATGACCAAAATAGACAGAGGCTATATTCCTTACCACTTGTTAAAGTGTACTGACTTTTAGTGAGAGGCTAAATACATGTTTTAATTCTCTATCAAAAATATGTTTTTAGGATTACCTCTTGAACAACAGCAAAACTTGTTTCATGCAACTTTACAGTCAAGACATCAGAATGAAAAGCAGATAAACATCGTATAAAATTCAATCCTTCAATTTTTTTTTCCCTATGGAAAAATAAACCAGTGGTAAAAGCATTAAAAACATATAATCTCAACTGGATCTTCGACTCTAATGTATCTGTGAAATACAGCCAAAGAATAAAGGAATACTTTATTTAACTTGTAAAGGTAATTCACTACCTCTTTCTGTGACAGTATCAGATCAGGAATCTGAAAGGAAGGGTTTCCTTAAATTGATTTTCCTTTTATGATCAAAGAGGAACCCTAAAATTTAAATGCTGGTAACAAAAGAACATTGGGGACAACAAACAAGCTGACTTTATTTTTCCTTCAGTGGGAAATTACATTCTTGTTCTACCATATGTAAGTATTCCTTTTGGGAAGGAAAGGAAGAGAAGGGAAAGATAAGCAAAAGTTAACGGAGGTTAGTTTTACTGGATAACGAAGGAGTAAGGTTATTGTTCTTAATATTTTGTATGAACAATCTTTCTTAGAAGCATAATACTCATATTTTAAAATCTCAATATGTAAAATATTATATGCTTAAGTAGCCTGTGCTTGTTTCCTATAACAACCTAGTGCTTATAGGACCTATGTGTGCCAAAAGATAAGAGATAATTAAAATTAAATAAAATTAAAGATGGTTAAAATTAAAGAAAAGCAAAAGATATATGAAAGATAATAAAGATAAAGGAAGTAAGCCTGAGAGATCTTTGTCTTTCTTTGTATCCCCAGTGCTTAGTACAGTGCCTAACATAAAAAGTGCTTAACAAATGTTTACTCACTACTATTGACTAAATAAAATTTTCACATGTGAAATTATTTTTGATGTCTTCAGAGGGTAGTAGGAACTAGCTGAGGTGGCTGTCTTCAACTACTACCTTTGATAAGAACAGTGGTTTTTTTTCTGAGTATTTAAATCTCTACAAAAAGATATTGTTAATTTGTGTATCCTCTCTCCTATTATTTTCTGAGGGGAACAAAACATTTCCTATATTACTTTCAGGTGGGTGCTAACTAGGAAAGTGTGGAGGTATCTTACCCTCAAGTGGTTCAATGAGAAATTCCAGTACCCAGGGCAAATTTAGTTATTATTGTTTTCATCACCACCACCATCATCATCATCATCACCCCACATTTACATAGCACTTCAAGGTTTGTGAAGCATTTTATGTGTTACCTCATTTGAGCCTCAAAACAACCCTAGGAGGTAGATGCTTTTATTATCCCTATTTTATAGATGAAGAAATTGAGGCTGGGACAGGTTAAGTAACTTGCCAAAGGTCACAGAGCTAGTAAGTGTCTGAGACCAGATTGGAATTCAGGTCTTCCTGACTTCAAGTTCAACACTCTATCCATTGTGCCACCTCATTGCTTTTGTGTGTTTTGTACCTACGGGTGCTGGGCAGGGGGGAAGGGGAGAAAGGGTTTTGGACAGAGGAGGCAGATGTGCTTAGGGTGTGCTGCAGCCAGAGAACTTCATGATACAATACAAATGAAGGCTTTATTTATTGTTCTGTTCATTGTCAAGACTTAAGAAAGTGGTCAAATGTTAACAATGCAGATGAAATTTTAAAATGTACTGCGCGAAAAAGTTTTCCCCTGGAAAGACAGTTGTTAAAACATTTACCAGCACACTGTGGCGTGTACCTGTGTGTGGCCATGGGAGCTGGAGAGGTTGAGAAATTGGGAGGTTAGGAAGCAGAGGTTGGGGTAAGTCGGGTACCAAACTTATCTGGGAAGAGGGAGAGTAACCTGGAGATCCGTCTATGACAGAAACTAGGATCTGGATGGGATGATGTAAGCTTTGAAAAAGGGGAAGTGGGTGCTGAGTGATGATGGTCCTAAAGGTACTTAAATAAATTCTAGCTTGGCAAAAATTACCTTCTTTTATAATTAAGCAAAAGTAATTCATACCTACATATACACAAATGGATCTGTGATTTCTTTGATTCAAATTACAGCCTACCCAGGACTATGCCCACCCTGTGAGGCTCCTGGCCATGCCCTCTTATAAATTCACCACAGGAAGTTCAACTAATGTGTTGGAATATGTCCTCAGGGACTATGTCCTCCACTATCAAAGTATCAGTGGAGTCCATTCCTACTCCCTTGTGATCGCTTGCTTTTCGTATGTGTCCAGCCCGTCTTTTCCTAACACACATTTCCCTACTGACAGCTTTCACTCCTGTCCTTTAAAGTTCCTCATTAGTTTCATATTGCTCATGCTTTATTAAAAATGGCAAACCTCTACAAAAGATCCCTTTCAACTTGAAAGTCACCCAATTTATGAATATCCTGCATATATCAAAGGGCAGTGTGGTACAATGGACAGAGAGTGAGACTCAGGCAAGAAGACCTGGGTTCAAGTCTGACCTCCTATACAGAATGGCTCTGTGAGCTGGGGCAACTCACTTTATCTCTAAGCACTCCAGCTAATTCTTTAAGATTAGAAGTTGTATAAAGATATCGCTCCCAATCTGCACAGATAGATGGTATTTCCTTATTGGGAGTTTCCTAACATCACAGATTTTGTCCAACCCCAAAACAAAGAGCAAACCTTCCCCACTACCAAGAATCAGCAACTAATAACAACAATAGCAGCGGCAGCCACAGCTAGCATGTTATGTAGCACTTAAGGGTTTGCGAAACATTTTATAAATATTACCTCATTTGATCCTCATAACAACCCTGAGGGATAGGTGCTATCATTATCCCCATTTTACAGATGAAGAAACTGAGGCAGACAGAGGTTAAGTGACATGCCCAAAGGTCACACATCTGGTTATTATCTGAGGCTGGATTTGAAATTGTCTTTTTTTTTTCTTTTTAAGGCAATTGGGGTTAAGTGACTTGCCCAGAGTCACACAGCTAGTAAGTGCCAAGTGTTTGGTCTGAGGCTGGATCTGAACTCAGGTCATCTTGACTTCAGGGTCAGTGCTCTATCCACTGTACCACCTAGCTGCCCCAAAATTAAGTCTTTTTGACTGCAAGGCCAGCATTCTATCCAGTGAGCCAGCTAGCTGCTTGTAACATTCCCACTGCCACTATTTTACCTTTTGCATATACTAGGTGGGCAGTCAAAGTGGTGGCAGTATGTGTTCGTGCACACATGTGGATATGTATGTGTAACAATGTGACTGTTCCCTATTGTTCTGTCCATCATCGACAGTGGACTATGTGCATTCCCTGTGTTAACATTTCCACTTTTGGGGGCAGAATGTTATTTTTCTGTAAAAACAATGCTATAAAGGATTAGATTCCCATATGAGCTAAAAATACCCTATTTTATTCACAATACTAGGTGTACATTAAGAGCACTACTCTCAAAACACATTAATAATATTAGTATTCTTATATTAACTGCATTATGTTTCAGGGGCACCAAAGGTTGAATGGACTTGTGGCTGGCCTGGGTTCTTTAACACCATTGTACTAAGTTCTTTTTTTTTTTAATTTTTTTTTTCAGGCAATTGGGGTTAAGTGACTTGCCTAGGGTTACACAGCTAGTAAGTGTCAAGTGTGTGGTCTGAGGCCAAATTTGAACTCAGGTCCTCCTGACTTCAGGGCCGGTGCTCTATCCACTGTGCCACCTAGCTGCCCCTTGTACTAAGTTCTAAGAAAAAGAATTGCCAATTAACTTTTAGAACACAAGGGATTGATAAACTGGGATCTTAGTATACTTACCAATCATCGTCAGCTAACAGTCTTAAGGCTTCTGTAAGTGCTACTTCTGGTTTGGAAAAAGGCCTCAGTTCAGATGGATCCATTATTTCTGGACTATGTGTGACAGATGGGATTCTTTCTTTGTATTGTGGTCTGGCCCCAGGAGACACTTCACCTATGAAAGTAAACTACATTAAATAATCACAGACCATCATGCCAAGTTCATGTAATATTAAATAAAATAATATTTTCACCTAATTTTATTTTTTATTAGAGTCACAGAAATCCAATTTTATTAACATTAATTTTAAACAAAATTGTATAATTAAATCAATAATAATGATGACGAGGCAAATGATAGCTAACATTTATACAGAACCTACTATATGCCAAGCACTATGCTAAGCACTTTATAATTATTATCTCATTTGATCCTTAAAACGACCCTGGGAGGTAGGTGCTATTATTATTCTTATTTTAAAGATGAGGAAACTGAAGCAAATAGGGTTAAGTGACTTGCCCAGGGTCACAAAGCTAGCACATGCCTGAGGTTAGATTAGAACTAAATTCTTCCTGACTCCAGGCCTGCCATTCTACCCACTGTGCCATCTAGTTGCCTCTGTGGGATAAAAATAATCTGAATCTTCATTTCTTATGTCTAAAACTATTTAGAAAATAATTGGAGAAAACTTTATGTCCTTGACATTTCAGATGCTGTTATATTCGTTATTTTTTTTTTCAGCTGTTGATCATGTTACACAAAAGTTTGGCTTCCCTTCATTCATTCATTGGCTTCACTTTTAAAACTGAAGATAACTCCAAAGTGACGGGATAAAGTCAAAGGTCTTCCTATAAGAAATATTTTGGGAACTGGGAAATAAGTAGGTAAGAAATTTGGAAATGAAGATCACATCAAGCTCATGATCCATCTTAATAATTCACTGGCTCACATATATCTCTCTATATCTGTATATGGGACAGCTAGGTGGTGCAGTGGATAGAGTACTAGGCATGGAGTCAGAAGACTCAACTTCCTGAGTTCAAATCTGGCCTCGGACACTCAGTAGCTGTGTGACCCTAGGCAAGTCACTGAACCCTTTGTCTCAGTTTTCTCATCTGTAAAATGAGGTGGAGAAGGAAATGACAAACCACTCCAATATCTTTGCCAAGAAACTGTGCCCCCTTACTCATGGGGTCATGAAGAGTTGGACACGACTGAAAAATTAATGATAACAACATATCTATATATAATAAAATTAAACTAAACATATATTTTATTTGTCTCTAGACTTTATGGTCTATCAAAATTGATACTACTGATGGCAACTTTAATAATCCAAAGTCCAAGAGTGTCCAATATCAACAAATATTCTTTGAGAACATGTAACTTTTTAAAAACCCTGTGTTGGTAGGACCTACTGAGGACATCAAGAGGTATAAGAAAGTTCTAGTCCTTAAACAGTTTGCAGTCTAGTTAATCAGAGGGGACACGTACATAAAAACAAAAAGCATCTTTAATCTGATTATTGTAGTCATAAATTAAGATAACCTATTGGAGTTAGAAAAATACATTATCTGGTATATTTGGAAATGAGAAATAACAGAATATTTTGATTAGACAGTTACTATGTATGAATCTTAATGTTTAACAAAAGCAGATTAAAATTTTATTCTGTAATTTCAAGGATCTGTGAGCTTCATTGTTATTAACTTCACTGAAGCGAACTGTTAACACCTCTATCCCTCAGCAGGCAATTTTTAAGGTTATATGACCAAAAAATGTACTGCCTGATGGCCAATGCTCTGGTGTCATCTTAGACAGCTATACCATTCATTATGAGGCTTATAATTAAAGCCTTTCCTTCTTGGTCAGACCTACCACTAAAGCTTATGCTGTTTTCACAGAGAACCCAGGGTTACGTTCACATCATGATGCACTGAAGAATTTTAGAAGATAGATAATAAAATATACTTCGCACTAAAACAACATGAATATAATTTAATCTTTCTTTGATGAATCAGATGACTACTGAAAAAGCTTTATATGTAGTAAATACAAGCCTCTATGAACTGAATAACCATGAACATCTAAACAAAGAGATCTTATTGATCCTGGTTTAACAACAAAAAACACAACACACAGCTAAGAAAAGTTTTAGATAAGAAAAGTTGGTAAATTGCTAGAATTAATCATATAACGTACTGAACTTCATCTTAGAGGTGTTTCTGAGCAGGGACTGTTTTTTGACCTTTTTTTGTACCCCAACACTTAGCACAGTACTTGGCATATAGTAGGTGTTTAACAAATGTGTATTGACTCTGACTGATTATAAATCCAGACAACTCTAGAAATCTTATTCCTTCTTTATTTTCAATGGAGAAAAAAATCTAACATTTTACTGCACAAAAAAAGTTAAAAAACCCACTCCAGCTATGGGGAAATAAAACTTGATTAGTTAATCCATTAATTATAATATGGTTTACACTTCCATTTCCAAATCTTATATAGTAAAAAGTTCTGCTATGATTACACATTATTATTAAACAAAACTATGTGTGGAAAAACCACAAACCAGATGTTTGAATCTTCCAAGTTTTATTTGTAACATTAAGGCTAAGATCAATCAACATTATCATTTGCAAACACTTCTGATTAAGGAACAGACTCTTACTTGCTCCTCAATCCTAACACACGTAATATACTATTTTATTCTTAACTTTAAACATTTCTTAAGTTTACATATCACTTTTATTCTCATCTACCTTTAAATTTCAAACCTGTCCAATAGTTAAATTTTAAAAAGTTGATAATGTTTTGATGCAAGATATTTCCAACACAAATCCAGTAAGCCCTTCAACATAGTACATTACCAGAAAGTTAAGAAAAAGTGTATAACAGTGTAATTATGAATGATACTTGTCAATTTTGCTTTTGTAGTTTACTAATTAACAGAAAGAAATATTTGACTTAACTTTGTTAAACATAGTGATAACAATCTATTGCATTATTTACCTTGAATCTTGTTGCATTTTAGTTTTATCTTTATGGTACTGTAGTAATTGTTCACTTTGTACTTTCGGTTCTGCTTTCCTCACATAGCATTCCTTCATAAAAGTTTCCAATGTCTTTAAAAAATGATCTGGAGACCTATATTCTACTCTTGGTTCTGCAATGACTGACTTCTACTTGTAACCACAAATTACTTAACCTCTCTATGCCTTAGCTATAAAATGGGATAGTTAGATCTAGTCCATACCTATCTCTAATAAAGTTATGAGAGCAGTCTGATTAGTCAAACAATAGGCATTTATTAAATACCTACTAGGTACTGTGCTAAGCCCTAGGGCTACAAAGAACAGCAAAAGTCTGTCTTTGTTTTAGGGAAGCTCACACTCTAATAGTGGAGACAACATGAAAATAATTATGTACAAATAAGATATATATATATATAGGATAAATTGAAGACAGTCAATAGAGGGAATTTAGTTGGATCTTGAAGGAAAAAAAATCATAGAATTTTAAAATTAGAAGGGAATTTAGGAATAATCTAATCATTTTACAAATTTCTTTATGGTATGTAACCTATTGGAGTTAGAAAAATGTATTATCTGGTATATTTGGGAATGAAAAATAATCAAATATCTTGATTATTACTCCTATAACTAATGATATTCAATGATTCATTTATTCAGGGCTACCCAGAATTAGGACCAGAACGAAGATCTTCTGACTTCTAGTGCTTCTTCCACTGTAGTCTGCACAAAAGAGTCTTATTAGTGTAATCAGTATCTCTTCAACATTAAAAAAGTTACAAACAGTTAATTTACCTGACTCTGAAAAAAGTAAAGATGGTGATCTTTTTAAATAGGACACTCCTTTTGCTGAAGGGCTGAAGGCAACACTTTCTAAAGATAAACCTGATATTACCACCTCATCTCCAAAAATACTCAAGTCCAGAAGAAAAGAAAAAAAACACTAGGAATTTAAATGAAGATAGTCTATTAACTTTTAATAAAAGCTTTATATTCAACCTAGCAATTTATTTTCTTTTTACTACAAGGATTCAATATTTGTTCTATAGAGACTACTATGTCAAATAAAAAAAAAATTCTCTGGTTTTGACCATTGTAACATTATGATCTTGATCATATCAAATACTAAAGCAAAGAATATTATATTACATCAGCTAGTATAATATTAGCACAAGTATACCACAACTGTAGCCCCCATCCCCAATCCACAACTTTAACTGAACTCACTTTCTGTTGCCGTTCTCTCAGCTTCAGTATGCTTAATTTGTTCTCTGGAATTAAGTTCCTTTTTCTCATGATCTTTGACTTCAAAAAGTTTTTTATGACTTATCTCTTTTTCTTCCTTTCTCTTCTGTCTCATCTTGTCATAAGTGGATTTTGAAACAGAAGCTTTAATCTGCATTAAAAGTTGAAACATTTGAAGATAAATAAGTAGTTTAAATAATGACTAAAAATTTTCTTATCCCAGACACATACTCATGTGTATCTGTAACAACGTTTATTCTACACAGAAGAGATACTGAATGGCCATGTGTATAGCAAAAACTGATTAAATTTCAATGTTGGCATCTTAAGTGTAGAAAAAAATAATCCGCTATATTACTAGTGAAGTGTGAAATGTCTCAAGTTTTTTGAAAAGTGATATGGCATTATAAAGTAAAGAGTTAAGATATTCAGCAGTCCTTCTGTTAAACTGATAGTCTAAGGGCAATGTTAATATTGAAAGGTAATTATAAAACTTATCTACAAAAAAACATTTCTAGGAACAGTAACTATAATGGCAAAAAAAAAAAAAAAAAAAAAAAAATTAGGGGCAGCTAGGTGGCGCAGTGGATAGAGAACCAGCCCTGAAGTCAGAAAGACCTGAGTTCAAATCTGGCCTCAGACCAAACATTTGACACTTACTAGCTGTGTGACCCTGGGCAAGTCACTTAACCCCAATCGCCTAAAAAAAAAAAAAGTAAAAAAAAAAATTAGAAACCAACAACTGGGGGAGAGGCTACCAAGTACCGATAAATAGTTCTAATCTAATAAATCATTCTGTAATGTTGGTGACCGTAGGTCCTTAAAGCAGATAGCAAATGACAACAGATAGCAGACTCTGGCAGACTCTCCTAGGCTAGAAAGTCTTTGGGTATGGAGCTACCACAGGCCTACAATTGTTTTCAAAATATTGGTTCCCTAAACATGGATATTTATTACCAGCAGACTGGCTATACAATATAGTAGTTCACAATATAATGAAAAATACAAAATGGCTCTTGGGCCTTTGTGGACCTCCTTGACTTTGGCAGTGATGGTGGCAGAGTGGCAAAAAAAAAAAAAAAAAAGAAAAAAAAAAAGAAAAAAAAAGGCTGAGGATACTAAGGTACACATTTTCAGGCCATCTATGAACATTAAACATTAAACTTAGCTGTTGGTACTCTAGAAGTGAGCCACCAAAGTTGCTTGTTTTTCACTTCCAAAGTCAATAGAATCAGTATTTAATTGGATACTTGGTAATCTTGTGTTGCAGGACTCACGATAAGCATTTGCCAAAAAGACCAACATGAAGCTAATTGTAGCTTATATAGCAACTGCACAGAGGATGGTGAAGTTGAGCTTAAGCTGCTCCCAATTAAACTAATAAGTTCTTTAATACCTAACAATTTCAATAAAATGGAAAAAGAATGGAAACATACTGGACAATATAATTCAAGAATAAGAAATGAGAGGGGCCAAGGACTAATAAACTATAAAGAAGTTTTGCTTCTACACACCAAGAATATTTTCTTTAAGAAGTGAATTGGGAGAAATTAGACATGGTAAACATAAAATTACGTATCAAAAAACGAAAATGATTATATCTTAATAGATGGGAATACACTGGTTACAGATGTGAGAAACATTTCTGCATTAGCTGTCTATGTAAAATAAGACTACTGACTTGTAGAGCAAAGATAAAAAACAATACAAAATTAGAGAAGAATAAGAACTAGAAGGTACGGTACCCAATCAATCAACATTTATTAAACATCCACAATATATCAAATACTGTGCTAAGTGCTAAAGATACAAAGACAAAAATGAAACAGTCCCTTCCCCAGGGAGCTTACATTCTTACTGAGGAGTCAAATATATACAGAATACACACACATACGCATGCACACACACACACACACACACACACAGAATATATACAAAAAGAATATAAGGCTATTTTTTGGAAAGGAGGGTACTTGCAGATGAGGTAATCAGGAAAAGTTTCTAGAGATTGAGTTGAGTTTTGAAAGAAACTAGGGAGTACAAAAGGAAGATGTGAGGAGGGAGAGATTCCAAGGTATGGGAGACAGACAATGAAAGGGCAAGGAGATTCCAGATGCTCTCTGTGTGTGTGAAGCTGCAAACAGACCAGTGTGATTGGACCATAAATTATGTTAGGAAGGAATGTGAGAGAATAGAAAGGTAGGGAGGGGCCAGAGTTGTGAAGAGCTTTAAATGGTAGACAAATTTATTTTTTATTTTAGAGGTAATAGGCAATCAGCATCTCCTAAGGAAGTTGAAGTATGATAAATTAATACCCACAACTGGTTGCCCACAAAAACCTAGAAACTATCTTCAGTAGCAAGCACGTAATCATAGGGAGATATAGCAGCCAAGTGCAACATGTAACACCAGTCTGGCATACAAACGCTTCTGTAAAATCCTAGCAGCACAGTAAAAACCAAGCTGAAGAAGAACACCTATTGTCTGAACTATGATATGGAGTTAGACGGACAACTCATAGAACTATACATATATCTTGGACAAATACTATGCACAGACAATGAGCTAAGTCCAGAACTGAATAGGTGGCGAAGAGAAAGCTTGATTGCATTTGAGAAATTCTGCACTGCTTTTAATGACCCTAAATTTTTCTCTGAAACAAAGGCTGACCTTCATAATGCTCAATAATCTTTTCATAATAACAGGGTTGTGAGTCTCCAAAGAGTTAAAGGGTAATGGAGAGGCTTGTGCTGAGCTCATGCAAAGTGCAATATATCATCATTATCAAAGAACTACACTTGAAGAAGTGACATAAAGGATATCATCCCAAAGTTTTGTGACTGGAAAAGTTGGCTGGTCATAGAGTAAGAATGATGACCAACAGACAGCTTGTATATTCCCTTGTATCCACAAAATATTCAGAGATCAAGAGGAGGAGCCCTCATATAGCAGAACTGAAGTAATGGATAAAAGTCTCAGAGGATAAGAAAGGATGGATCGATTAATAGAAAAGATAATCTGCTTACCTGGAAGGGATAGACACATCAACATATTACAATATTATCATACCATAAGAAATAATGAATATGAATTTTTAAAAAATGGAATTCACATGAAGTGATGTAGAATGAAGAAGGTAGGAATAAAAGAATAATATACACATAAAGTAGAACACTAGCAACAAAATTCATGTTAAATACATATCTTTTTTACTACCTTGTTAAAACTAAGTTAGGAATTTTGGTTCCTTAACAAGTGCTGAAGAGAAGCCTACAGTTACATGTACAAGCATTTATAATCACCATTTTTTTTGCTTTTTTATATGTTTTTGTTTAAATATTTGGATACTTATGTGACAGAAGTTAAAATAAATTTTCTTGTGAAAGTGCTAATAAGCATAAAATTCACTGTCATTAGGATTTATGTATTTCTTTGTTCTTGTGCTGTATAACTGGTTTTTACTAGGATACTAGTATATTCTAGTGCATTCTTAGAAAAACTGGGCCTAGAATATTACTATGTATCAGTAATAGAAACAAGGTAGTATTTTCTGGGAAGGGAAACCATCTACTATTTAAGATCAGACCATTTAAAAATTCAGTAAGAGATGGTTATTTAAATCAAAGAATATTCAGTTTTAAACTCTATAAAACAATGACTCAAAATTCAGACTTTAAAAAAGATAATATAGCCTTTAAAAAGATAATATAGCCTTACATCTTTTTCATTCTCAACATCCAGATATGGTAGACTGTTCTGTTGGACTGCTCTTCCATAAATCCCTGATGGTGGCTCAATGCTTGGTTTAATAGAGAATGTATCCCCATTTTCCACAGGAGGTATCACTGATTGGTTGCTTGTAACTGGAACTGAACTTGAGATTCCAAAAACACCTGAAATCAATCAACCAGCAAATATTCATTGAATATTTGTGCACAAGGCACTGTGAGAAATACAAAGATGGTTCCTGCCTTCAAGAGGCTTATAATTTAGTTGTGAAATTTAATAAATACATGAAAAGTTAAACAACAGCATGATACAACAGTATAAGAGGTATCAGAAGACAGGAGATGATTATTGTTAAATGAATATTACAGACAAGTGTTGCAAATTTAGCGAAGAGATTATGGACTAGATAGGCCTGAGCTGAGTTAATCTTTCAAAATAGGTAGAATTTAGAAGAGCAGGGGAGAAAAAACAAACACTATTGGGGCAAGGGAACAATGACATAAACAGAAAAAAAACCAAACCACAAGACATGTTGGGAGGGAATATAGAAAACTGTGAGATTAGTTCACTGGGGCAAAGGATAAATGTAAAAGAACAAGAGATAATGCTAGAAAGGTCAATTTGGGCAAACTGATGAAAACCCTGAATATAAGTCTAAACTCCATCCTATACGCAATGGGGAGACACCAAAGAGTATTCTAAGCAGGGGAGTGACATCAAATGAAATGGTAATAATTACTGTCAATGTTTTACTACTTTAAAAGTTTTCATTTCAATTAAAAAAACATAAGTGGAAAAATAAAGCAAACTAAAATACCTCTATAAAAAACATTTAAAATTTTCTTTTCTTTTTCCTTTAACATGAAACTAGGAGTTAAATTCTTGTTTGTCTAAAATGTAGGTGGAAACCAACATATTTATACAAATTTAAGCTGATAATTTAGTGAATAAGCAAAAGTTGCCATCCTAATTCTAGCTTTCATAAAACTTCTTTTTAAAAAAAAACAAAACAGTACTATAAAGATCCTGGAGATAATGAATGTATTGTATACTGTAGCTATTAAGTCATTCACTAATACCCTTACACAAGAAATTATTGCTGAAAAAAAAATCACTTATGTGAATTCATTTTTTGAGTTATTAAGGAGTATAAATAAGCTCTGATGCATTTCTAATTAATTTCAATTTGAAAGATTTTTCAAAATCTTTACTGAACACCTGAATTAAACCAAACTCTTCTTTTCTATTTCAAACAGATAAGCTTTCCTATGTGTGAAGACTATAAATAAAACTAAATAACTTTGAAATCTTAATACCTTTTCCAACAACTACTACTGAGTCTTCTGATAAGGCATTTGTTGAAGTGAAGTCAAAATTGGAAATTTGCTGTAAATTTGATGACCCTGTAAATCCTAAAAGAATAGGTTTAAAAAGAGAATAAAATTTTTCTAATTGTTTTTCACTTCAATAATTTATAATGTAACAGCCTTTAAAATATATAATTTTTCATACATTTAAATATAATAAAGGGATAACATGTAAAGCACTTTGCAAACCTTAAAGCGCTATATAAATTTATGCTATTAATAATGATTATCATCTACATTTCAGTAACAAATGCTTTATGTTTTAAAAATGTTTGAAACAGATCAGAAATGAAAAGTGAAAAATTCTATATCTACATCTGGCTAACAGTTTGATTATTTTTTGACTGCAATGATTGTTACATTTGGGTCAACTTATGATAAACTTGGTCAACCAACCAGTTTGACTAATATATTCCCACAATTGATGAACTAACTGAAAGAAATTTTGATTGACTGTGGTCAGGCTTGCCTCCAGATTATCTGTGTTAATGGGGAGAACTAGTATGAAATCTGAAATCTGAAAATTATTTATATTTGGTTTTGGAATTTAACACAACATTTATCACATTAAATTTACTCTACTATATGTTTTTTGGCTTTGGTCAATACAGAAATTAGTTTGTATTTTTAGTGCTCATGTGAACTGATAGCAAAAGGAGATAGTCCCAAAAGCTGCACAATGGGAAAAATAAGCCAACATGGGATTGAAAACTTGGCAAAGACACACAGATCATCGAAGTTTAGTTACAATTAATAGCCGACAACTTACAATGAGGAAAAAAATAACAGCCATCCCAAGGATATGAATCATTGAGTTTTTTATAATTTTTTTCATAGAAGTAGGCTATTCATACTCCTTTTTTACATTTATTTATTCTTTGCACTATAGTCTGCTGCACAAACAGAAACTTAAACTATTAATCATTGAGTATGAAGAAAAAAATGTTCAAAATAAACTTCATATAAATATGCCATATTTACTCACAATTTCCTCCCCTTTCCCCTAATATTTTCACTCTATCAATTTTCACTCTATCTATTACTCAATCAAGGGAAAGAACATTTAGGTCCTCATCTATCTACCTTCATTAACCTTCATTCATTTTATCCCCCCAGTCATCTCAAACAACGAGCAAACTGGGGCAAAGTTTCCAGATGTCAAAGCATAGACTTAGGGAGATAGAGAGAAAAGAGGACCAGTTGGTCCTACAAATATATATATATATGTATTATATAAATGCTTAAGCTTATTATATATATGTATGTCTACACACATATACATATATATGTATATATACACACACATTCTTAGGCTGCAATCACTGTTTTGTGACTTTGGATGCTTTTTAAAACTGCCCTTGATATTAATTTTAACTTGATTTCACAGGCATTAAAAAAAATATGGGGGAGAGGCATGATTGGGCTAATCAAATGGAAAGAAGGATAAAGCCCATACAATGTAATATATAATTTGCCCTGGGGCCCACACTCCCCCCTTTTACTAAAAAACAGTGACTCACCCAGAGTTACACAGCAATCAGTAGGCAAAGTTAACTGGAATCTAAATCTACAGGCAATCCCCGCTTTTTGCTGCAATGTACTCCTGGAAACCGCATCAGAAAGCAGAATGGCAAAAAATGGATTATTTTTTTTCATATGCACTGTGTAGTCTGGAGCTACCCTTGTCCACCATTAGGTGGTGGTCTTGCCTTGCTATGGAATGTGAAGTTTACAGGGGCAGTGGGAAACAGAGGAATGAGCAGCTGAAAGTGAGCTGATCAAGGCTGTGAAAAGTGAAATACAAATACTTTTAAAGGCACTGCTGGATGTAGGTGAGATTCGAGGCAGCCAAAAGTGGGCATTGCCTTTAATGTTTTCTTTAGTACTTCTTCACTCCTAAACTAAAGAATGATGTAAATAAATCTTCCTTAGTAGGACAGATAGGAAAACGCTTTGCAAATGATGGAAGGAGACATTTACATTTATAATTTCCTTTCCTTTTACTTTTCAAGTTTGGAGTCTTAACACTTTTGATCTGTACTCCTGCATCTCTCCATAGAGTTAGGAGCACATTGATAAATCAACTGCCTCTGAATCCTGGGCCTAGGAGAGGCAAGAAGGAAATAAAGGAGCGAGAAAAGACACAAGGCAGCTACTAAGGAGTGAATTCAACAAAGACAGATGCTTTTAAAATTCAACCTTTTTCCGTCTAATCAAAAACCAGACCTATTTTTAATAGTAACTCTTTCACTGGCAAGAAAAAAGTTCTTATTTCAATGAAGAAAAGGAATACTAAGTGTTGGTAGAGATTATACAAGGAAAAGGTAATTTTCTTAAAAAAAATTTCTTCTCAAACTCAAAGTATGGGGAAGAAATACTCAGGCAGAGAAAATATATGAGTAAATATGGTAAAAAAAAATTCACTTTATACAAAAGCTAAGAACTGGCTGCTATTATGATTAAACAGGACAATTACTATACTATACCATGGGCCGAGATTCTTTAATGAAACTTAAGTATTTCCTCCAATTCTTTCCTCCCATTCCTTCCATTTCTTAATCATATAAATAAACTATGTAATAGATCTTTTGGTTGAGTCATTCCACATAAACATTCACCATGATCCAAGTTTTATTTTGCACATGATTAAGTTAAAGAGTGATCTGCTTACATTTCAAGAACAAAATTTTACCTATTTTCACTACATTTGCTGAGGTTTCCAGCTTATAAAATGGTGGATTATATGATCACATAACAGTTCCCCGCTGCTTACAAATCTGAACACGACAATTTTAAATTAAAAGTATTACCTCTCGCATTTGTAACCCTTGAAATCTGTCCTCCTCCCCTACCCCTTGCCCTCCAATTCTAAGGGGTAAATATAAGCAGTAGAACTCTTTCTGAACGCTTGATCAGAATAGTTGAGAGGGATACAAACTTTGGCTATACTGTAAGTTTTAAAACACAAAGGTGTTAACGATAGCTAAATGCTTCAGGCTTTAAGTATTTACCCACAAAATTTCCTTAATTTTTTTCCTTCTACCAGTTTTAGCAGCCAAATAATTTAAGTATTTGTATTTTGTGGAGTATTAATATAAGAATTTGGTTGGATAAATTTGGTATCTAATAATTCATTTTTATAAGCCTGGAGGGAAGTTCACAAACCTTTTGCATGTTTATAATGCTTCAGGTGTTCTTTATTTTGGATTTTAAAAACAGTAGGTGAAACATCTCGTGACCTGTCATCTTCAAAATCACCACAACCATACCCATAGTTCATGCGCTGGCCAATTATGCTCACATTCGATGTAATTCCTGCATAATAAAATTCAGAGTAAATGTATTTAAAGATAAAGGCAATTCAATGTTTTAAACAAACCTTCTGCACAAACTAGGGCATGATAACAATCATTTTAAAGATTTTGATCAATCAGTAATTTCAATAATAACAATACATGAGAAAATATAATGGCACATATGGTGAAAAACAATTACAAGAAATTTGTGAATTTAATTTACAAATGCCAAATTAAAAAATTTTTAGCTCTTAAAATATATTGTATTTTTTTTATTTATAATAATTATGACAGGAATGAACACCAAAAACCTCTACCAAACCCTGGAATTCATTTTGGCATAAAATTAGGAAATACATTAAAAGGTAGACTTTTCCCACTGTAGTCATATTATAAATAGTTCAAAATTTCCATTCCAAACCCACTGTTATTTCTTGTTCTCTGATACTTACTAGTGTGACCTGGGCAAGTCACTTAACCTCTGTATGCCTCAGTTTCTACAACTGTAAAATGGGGATAATAATAGCACTTAGCTCCTATGGTTGTTGTGAGGATCAAAAGAGATATTTGCAGACTTTATAACACTATATAAATGGTAGTTAATACTATTAAGTCGTAAGCTAAGGACTAAATATTAAGTAAGTTAATAATATTAAGTAGAAAGTAAGCTCTTTATATATATCAGGTATAAACTTATAGAAGGCCAAATAATCTTAATAAAATTCCACTTTAAACAAATTATATATGGTCTTATAAGTTAGAGCTAGAGGAATGAAAAGAGTGGCAGAGTGATGAAGCAGAAATAACAGTGGATTTGGAATCCAGAGGACCTAGACTGAGTAAGAGGTAGTGAGTGCTGCTTCATGGAGACAAAGCTGTTCCTAGAGTCAGGAAAGAAGACCTGGGTTCAAGTCCCATCCCTGACATTGAAATGGAAAAAACAAACAAATAAGAAAACCCGAAAATGTAAACTGGCTTGGAAAACAGGGAATGAATAGACAATCTAAGTGTTAAGGGACACTCCCAGAAAACCATAACTAAAAAACAAAACAAAACAGAAAACCTAGATACCATTTTTTTTTCAGTAAAGCATAAATGAAAACTGTCCAGATTTATTAGAAACAAAGAACAAAGTGAAATTATAATCTACTGATGTCCTCTTGAAAGAAATCTCAAAATGAAAATTCCCAGGAATATCATAACCAAATTTATAGCTTAGGGGTTAAAACAAAATACTGCAAGCATCCAGGAGTGAAAAGTACCAAGGAATGACAGGATTCATGTAAGACTTGGCAGCTATAATTATAAAAGAGAAGAGATTTTTAATAAGATAAGGCAAAATAGATTCAGGATTATCACCAAGAATAATTTACCTTGCAAAGGTGAAAGTAATTCTACATGAGGAAAAAACACCTTAATGGAACAGAGGCTTATAAAAAGACCAAAGGTGAACAGAAAATTTGAAATAAGAGGAACCCAGAAAGGTAAAAATATTTGAAGAATATTTCACTATACAATAATGAAATGTTTATATTATAATAGAGGGAGAAGAAACAAGTACCTGTCCAGATTTCTAATTTCTTCAACAGTCACAGAGACAAAAATAAGACAGGGTTTTTTTTGTTCCCTATTTTGATGGTTTTTAGAAAGGAAAGAAAAGGGAGAGGAAAAAGAAATACACTATAAAAGAAAGGAAGGAGGAGGGGGTGGAGACATTAACTATTTTTTATACTCAAGTAGTATGAGAAAAAGTACAGCCAAACATGGAAGTGGGGAATGAGGGAAGAGCCATCACATGAACCTTACTCCAATCTGAACCAGTCAGTCAATTGATATGGATTCATTAAGTGCCTACTATATGCCAGGCACTATGCTAACCATTTGGGGATACAAAAAGAAGCAAAAGACAGTACCTGCCTTCAAGGAGCTTAAAATATAATGGGTGAGACAATAAATATGTACAAATATGTCAAATACAGGATGAATAGGAAATAATTGAGGGAGGAAAGGCATTAAAATTGAGAAATTAGGAATGGCTTCCTGTAGAAGATAGGATTTTAAGTGGGATTTGAAGGGAGCCAGGGAAGCCAGTAAGGAGAGAATTCTACAACTGAGGGATAGCCACAGAAAATTCCAGGAGCTGAAAGATGGAATGTCTCGTTTTCAGAACTGAAAAGAAGCCAATGTCACTGGACTGAAGAGAATGTGGTAAGGAGTAAGGTATAAAAATACTGGAGGGAGAGGTGTGATTGGTTATGAATGGCTTTGAATGCCAAAACAGAGGATTTTATATTTCATGCTCAAGCCACTGAGGATTATTGAGGTGAGGGTGGGCAGCTAGACATGGCTGGGTCCTCATTTTAGAAAAATCACTTTGGTAGCTAAATACAAGAATGATTAGAGTAGGGAGAGACTTGAGGCGGGCCAACTCATCAGCAGGTTATTGCAATAATTCAGGCATGATGTGATGAGGGACTGCACTAGAGTGGTGGCAGTGTCAGAGGAGAGAAGGGACACACAGGAAAGATGTTGCAAATGTGGAATTGACAGGCCCTAACAACACAAGGGAAGATATGGGAGGTTGAGAGATAATAAGGAGTCAAAGATAACACCTAACTGCTGGAAGAATGGTGTTCCCCTTGATAGTAATTGGGAGTCTGGATAGGGAAAGGCTTATGAGGAAAGATAGTAAGCTCAGTTTTGGACATGTTGAGTTCAATATGTCTACTGGATATTCATTTCAAGATGTCTCAAAGGCAGCTGGAGTTGTGAGATTGGAGGGCAACAGAGAGGTTAGGGCAGGATGTCATCAGCATAGAGAAGTTGATGAGCTCACTAAGTGAAATAGTAGAGGGACAAGAGTAAAGGGCTTAAGACAGAGCAGTGTGGGACATCCATGGTTAGTAGGCATGAGATTGAGGAGAGAATAATCTCCTGAAAACCTAGGGAGAAGAGACTATCAAGGAAAAGAGGGTGATCAACAGTGTCAAAGGCTGAAGAGAGGTCAAGAAGAATGAGGATTGAGAAAAGGTCACTGGATTAGGCAATTAGGAGATCATTGGTTACTTTGGAGAGATCAGTTCTGGTTGAAAGATGAGTTTGGAAGCCAGACTGTAATGAGTTAAGAAGAGAGTGAGAGGAGAGGACCTGGAAGCATCTATTGTAGACAGAGTTCTCAAGGAGTTGAGCCACCAAGGAGAGAAGAGATATAGGATGATAGCGGAGATAGAAGGATTAAATGAGGGCTTTTTAAGAATGAGGGAAACACATGGGCATGTTTGTAGGCAGTAAGAAAGAAGCCAATAAACAGGGAGAGATTGAAGAAAAGTGAGAGAGTGGGAATGATCGAGGGGAAGATTCTGTTGGAGATGAGATGAAAAAGGATTGACTGGGTAGGTAGAAGAGTTTGCCTTGGCAAGGAGTAGGGCCACCTCTGTGTGACAAGAATAAATGAGGAAATAGTGGCAGAAGGCATCTGAATGATAGATGAGGAAGAGGGAAGAAGAGGGAGCTCACAGTGAATGGCCTCAGAGTTTGTTTGGTTTTTTTTTGAGTAAAATACAAGATTCTCAGTTGATAGAAGGACAAAAGGGGAGCCATGGGAGGTTAGAGGAGAGAGGAAAAGGTTTGGAAGAACCACTGAAGAGAGTAGGACAGTAAGATGATAAGGACCCAGTTGAGGCTGTGCAACATAAATTTGGAGTGGACCCAGTTAGAACAGTTGTGTGATTTTCTCCATCTTTGTTCAGTAGCATGTGTGTAGAAGTGAAAAGTGCAGATAGTGGGAATGATTCAAGGATGAAGTTTGGCAGGGGACAGTCAGCACTATGATGGGAGGCCAGGAACACGAGAGAAGAGGCCAATTTAGAATTGAAATGGTTCACCAAAGTGTTGACACTTTAGTTGACACTCCATCTTGAGAAGGAGAAAAGAGGAGAGAATAGCTAATACGTGGGTCACAGCCTGGGAGAGAACTGAATAGTTGAGGATTAAAGGTCACGGAGTAGATGAAGAGTTGAGTTTGAGAAGGCAAGAGAAGTAGAAAACAAATAGGTTATGGTAAGACAAGGGGACTCAGAGTTGAGACAAACCTAAATAAACCTAACAAAAACTTAAAATAAGAAAGAAGTACCTGAATAGAATTTTGGAAAAGTTAGATGTGATAGCTACTAAATGGGAATAGAGAGAAGTATGCATATATCTCAGGTGTGTATGGCAATTTCAGAAAAAAAAGATGAACATTTGCTAGGACATAAAACATCATAAACAAATGCAGAAGCAGAAATATTAAATACATCCTTTACTCAGTACAACCCAATACAATTATGTTCAATAATGTGCATCTGAAGAAAGGTTTCAAAATTAACTAGACTCTCAATATTTAATCCTAAAGAATTGTTAGGTTAAAGATTAAATCACAGAAACAATAGAAATTTCACCAAAGGAAATGACAACAATGAGACAACATATTAATATATGCAATTCAGTCAAAACAGACCCAACGGGAATTTATAGCTCTAAACTTTCATCAACAAGCATGAAAATAAATTTTTTAAAAAGCTAGAAAAACAACAAAATGCAACCCCCCAAACAAAACACCAAAGTGGAAATTATGAAAATCAAAACAGAGATTAACAAAATTGAAAGCAATAAATCCCATTGCACTGACAAATAATACTAGGAGCTGTTTTTTTTTTCTTTTTGGGTGTTGGGGGAAACAAATAAAATAAACTCTTAGGTAGTGTGATTAAAAAAGAGAAAGGAAAACAAATTGCTGGCATCAAACATGGAAAAGGAGAACTAACAGCTAACAAAGAAGAAATAAAGGAAATTATCTTGTTCTACTATATGCCACCAAAACTGAAAAGCCAAATGAAATCGATCAGTAGTTGCAAAAATATAAAATACTCAGATTATAAGAATAGAGAATTAAAATAACTCATTTCTCAGAAAAAGAATGTGAACAAGCCATAAATGAACTCAAAGAAAAAACCTCATAATAAGATAGATTAAAAAAAT